CCCCCCAAGAAAAAAACCTGGAAGACTCTCAGTGTAAAACAAACACACGCAAGCATAAACTCGCACAAACACTTTGTTTAAAAATTTTATGACTCACATTTTCTGACAATGAGTCTCATGACTCACATTTTCTGACAAATTCCCTTCTATGCGAATGGTTTTTGACTAGCTCATACAACTGGTCCTGCTTGTGACTGCGGCTGCAATTTTTGCTAAAAAATATGTCTCCTTGACCTTGGAGTTGTGGCTTGCACTGATGAAACTTTTAGTGTTTTTTTCCAATTCGGCAATTTTCGCAATTTTCTTCTACATTACTGTATTAACTTCTATTGGGAATACATTTCCACAAAACTTTGCCCGTGAGCAAATTGATAAAAAAGCTAGTTTTTCATTGCAAAACATTCAACTCCATCAAGAGCAAAGTTCTATTTCATATTTCGTTTTATTGTTATAGATGTTAAGCAACAAATAATATACTTTGACGTTTGGCCAACTCTAGAAGTTGCTATCATATACTCAGCTTTAAATCCATGATTTTAAACAGAATTCAGTGATGGTGAACATTGGAATTGCGAAAATATTGTTCATATCCTTTTGCTTATTGAGATATTCCGCCACATCTGTCAACACTCTGAAGACACAGCGAACTTCAGAAATTGTCCGTAGTATGAGCATCATCGCTCCTACTCCTACATCAGTGAAACAGCGACGAAGTGGCATCGTGTCTACTACCCGGCTTGATGTTTTGCATCGACCAGTAAATAAAAGAAATACAACACAAACTTTTTCTGACCCAGCTAAAACTGAAACGTTTAATGGGGGTTCCCTGAAATTATTGCCAAGCATCACGGTCATAGCGCCAGAAAACCAGAATTCAAGAGAAAACACTTTTAGTCAACTAGTATTGTCTTCAAGTAAAACATGGACAACCTCATCTACTCTACCAAGCGCTGATTCAAATAAAAATGCCTCACCTATTTATAGTAAATATGAACAAAATTGGAAATTTGACAAAATCGTCACAGCCTCTTCATCACCAATATACCGCAAACCTGCCCTTCCGGATACATATAAAATAGTCCCAACTTACTCTGATACAAACAATCCACCTATCTATATCAAAGACAATCCATCTGTGCGTGACAAATCATCTACCACTGTTAGAAAGGAGCCAATTACCAATATTAAAAAAACATTGACGACAAAATCACCAACATCTATCAAAGACGAAGAAAAATTCACGACAAGATCACCAACGTATATGAAAGACAAAGATGAAGAAATATTCACGACAAAATCACCAACGTATATCAAAGACAAAGATGAAGAAAAATTGACGACAAAATCATCAACGTATATCAAAGACAAAGATGAAGAAAAATTCAAAACAAAATCACCAACATATATCAAAGACAAAGATGAAGAAAAATTCAAAACAAAATCACCAACATATATGAAAGACAAAGAAGAAGAAAAATTCACGACAAAATCACCAACATATATGAAAGACAAAGAAGAAGAAAAATTCACGACAAAATCACCAACATATATGAAAGACAAAGATGAAGAAAAATTCAAAACAAAATCACCAACATATATCAAAGACAAAGATGAAGAAAAATTCACGACAAAATCACCAACATATATCAAAGACAAAGATGAAGAAAAATTCAAAACAAAATCACCAACATATATCAAAGACAAAGATGAAGAAAAATTCAAAACAAAATCACCAACATATATCAAAGACAAAGATGAAGAAAAATTCACGACAAAATCACCAACATATATGAAAGACAAAGATGAAGAAAAATTCACGACAAAATCACCAACATATATCAAAGACAAAGATGAAGAAAAATTCAAAACAAAATCACCAACATATATCAAAGACAAAGATGAAGAAAAATTCACGACAAAATCACCAACATATATCAAAGACAAAGATGAAGAAAAATTCAAAACAAAATCACCAACATATATCAAAGACAAAGATGAAGAAAAATTCAAAACAAAATCACCAACATATATCAAAGACAAAGATGAAGAAAAATTCACGACAAAATCACCAACACATATGAAAGACAAAGATGAAGAAAAATCAACGACAAAATTACCAACATATATCAAATACAAAGATAAAGATAAGTTCACGACAAAATCACCAACGTATATCGAAGACAAACATGAAAAGCTCCCTTTCAAAGAAGACGAGATCGAGAGACCAGAACCTCCACAATGCCCCAGCTGGGCGAGCTGTAAAGATCGCTGTGGCTTTGAGCGACAGTTTGGTCACAAGTGGTCCTGCTTCTGCGATCCAGACTGCAATGTCTTCGGAGATTGTTGCGCAGACTTTGATGAACATTGCAACGTAACCATCATGCTAGAAGGCTGGGTCGAAAGTGAGTTTGATAAACGTTGGGATTGCTGGACACTATACCATGATGATATGCCTATCTGGATGATCGGGCAATGTCAACTAGGTTGGAACGATGCCGATGTTTTACGACGTTGCACTGAGAGAAACACGGATATTATCTCCGAGATAATCCCTGTAATTAATTGATCAATATAACAACACATTTTTCAACCGTTATTGTGCAATATGCAACAACGTCACAGAGTTCAGCCAATGGGAGTTCGAGGTATATTGTGACGTCATACCTCCCGTAGGGTACACAGAAGCACAATGGGCTACGTTCTTGGATTTGTTTTGCTTCATAGATTCGTTTAGTCTCACACAAACGTGGGGTAAAAGATACTGTGTTGACGATGTGCATTCGGATTGTTCTATTTGGGACGATGACGAAGCTGTTGAGGGTTGTCTATTTGGTCTTACTGGTTTGATAACAGTCCGATCAAATTCCATTGACCATTACCGAAATTGGGATTGCTTATTGTGTAATTACTTTGATGATCATTTCCTTTCTTTTACCGAATGTGGGCCAAGCGCCCCGATTGTTCATGAACCACTTGTACCGGAAGGACCAATTTCATATAGTTCAATCTTTCGCGCGTCTTCTTTACCACTCCCTCAATCAAAATGTCAACAATATCAAATCTACGACGAGACCTTCGCAGAATGCAAACCCCTTCTTGCAAGAAATAAAATCAACTTCGGAGAAGTTTTGAAAAAATATGCAGTCATTTTAGAGTACAAAGAACACTCGAACAGTTGTGGTATATCTTTATTTACTGGTTTGGAGAGTGCTAACTCGACAACGAGGCTCAAAGATGTCTCTCAAAAACTGTTAGAAATTAATTTAATGGAACGAGATTCGAAAGTCTTGGGTATTAATATTCAACCACTCGGAAATTTTAGTTACCGTGTCATCTTTGAACTGCTAGAAAACTCGGAAGAAAATGAGCTAGTAGAAAGTAATATTGGCCATGAACTGAAGATTCAAAACCTCGCTTTTCATTCACATATACGCAATCTCACTAGATCTAACGGACTTTGCAAATACTCATTGAACAGAAGCATCGTTCGTGAAATGTTGTGTGCTAAAAACGAGACATTCTCTTTGAATGAAGTTGAAATATATGGAAACAAGAGTTTATTTATTAACAAAACAGGACAACTTTACAGCGCTCAGGAGTACTTGTTGTTTAAAAACGAAAAACGATTGGCTTTGTGTAAAGATTACTGGCCTGGAAATTGTTCCTTTTACATTGAAGTAAATAATGAATCTGATTGGTCAATCTTCGAGAATGGCTCTGTTCATACTGACGTGACAAAAGTTTCATGGTTACACTATGGGGAATATACGATAGTTGATGGTGTGTTAAGATTTTGTTCAAGATATCCAAGAGCAGTACTTAGTAGTAAAACCTCGATACATGAAACCATTTTGTCTCATGCGACAACAGTTTGTCTGTCGGTGTCTATCATAAGCTCAACTGTTCTTTTGATTGTGTATTCAAAGTTTCCCGCGTTACGAAATCTTCCTGGGAAAAACCTGATGTTGTTCAGTGGCATACTTGCTTTTAGTCAACTATTGTGGTTACTTCAAACATATATAGCTTCTTTGTCTTCCACTTTCTGTGTCGTAACAGCCTTCGCCTTGCAATATTTTCTCTTAGCTTCCTTTTCATGCTCAACATCCATTGCATTTCACTCGTTAATGACTTTCCTCAAGATTGCAAAAGGAAAGCTAACGCAATCTTCTTCTGGGAAGTTTTTGTACTATGTGTTATATAGCCTAGGTCTTCCTCTGCTCTTACTCCTAATATGTTGGATCCTGCATTATTATAACATCCTTACAATTGTGCAATATCAGCATAATTGTTGGTTCAAAACCGACTTAAGTATTTTTATTGCATTTTATATTCCCGCTTTTACCATGCTTTTGTTTAACTTCGTCCTCATTTTGAAAACGATGATGTTTCTCCGGGATTGTACGAATGAACGCCGAAACTGGGCGGAGAAAACCGGCGCTCCGACGAGGATACAGATCGGAATTTACCTTCGAATGTCGACAATCATGGGAACAACATGGTTATTTGGTGTTTTCATTATGATATTTCCTGATGTTGTTGTTTTTCAATATTTGTTTGTGTTTATCAATGGCCTACAAGGGTTTTATATTTCCTTTGCGTTTCTCTTTACCGACAATGTAAAGAAAATTATTGTTAGAGGGAACAATAGAGGAACCAGTACTTGGAAGAGTAATAATTCACGTAGTATGTACTCTGCAACAACAATGTAATATATTTTGCATGATGAATATAAATGAAGTGTAACTGATACTTTGTGTCCAGATATATAACGTGTGACATTCCATATATATATATATATATATATATATATATATATATATATATATATATATATATATATATATATATATATATATATATATATATATATATATATATATATATATATATACCGGGTGTCCCAAAAAAAAGTACTCCGGTTTGATTTATAATAACTTCTAAACAAGTAAAGCTATGAAACTGAAATGACTTGCATTAAATAGAGGAAGGTCTAACTTAGATTTTTATATATCACAGTTGTATTTTACGTAAAAATTCACGGAGATATTAATGTTCAAAATTGGGAGCATATTTTGGGATGTGTCTAAAATTAGCGAAAATCGGCATATCAAATATTAACTCCAGCGTTTGTTTCCTTAATGACATATCAGGCTAACTTGTATTTCAGCGAATTGTCGTTAGGGTTTTGTAAGGGATATTGCGTAGATTTAGGCAGCTTACATGTAAGTCTTAGCTCATTGTTACCTGAAATATGAACGTTCGAAATTATGCAAGTATTTAATAGGTCTTTAGAAACTTAAAGGTACATGAAAGACCATGAAAGGCAGGCGCTTAAATTTTTCTTAAATAGCCTAATTTTTTTATGTTTTTCATGGTTTCAAAACAGAGTTGATTATTTCTCGGTTAAGAGCAGGATGAATATTATTCTTTAATGAAGGAAATAATATTGCTTTTTGCAAATACACAACACAGTAGCCTATCAACGCTACTATTTTGTTACGTTTTGTTCCAAAAATGTTGGATGTCTCTGGGGAGTTGCTTGTTAATTCTTATGGAGTTGTATGGTTTGATTGTGTTTCATTCTCAGTTTATTCTGAACTTGCCAAGATTAAGAAAAGGCAAACGAGTTTGGATGTTCTTTAACAAGATTTCAGAACGTTGCAGAAGTTAGAAGAGCTTCACAATTCCATTGTGACAGCATGCCCTAATTCAGAACTACGAACGATTGATGACGATCCTTCGCGATGCAGCTAGTGGTCTCATGAAATAAGGAACTTGACGTATTCGTGCTAGGAACACACGCGGATTTCGGAAGAATAAATCTGCTTGTATTTTGTAGATAATAATACTTTGTTTCATAATAAACAATTTGTCAAGTGTCATTTATTTACTGGTAATAGTGCATGTTTCAGTCGGGCAAATCTTGATTAATATTTGATACGCCGTTTTTTGCATATTTCAGACACATCCAGAAATATGCTCCCGATTTTAAACATTAATATCTCCGTGAATTTTTAAGTGAAATACAACTATAATATATCAAAATCTAAGTTAGTCCTTCCTCTATTTGATGCAAATTATTTCTCTTTAAAAGCTTTATTTGTTTATAAGTTATTACGAATCAAACCGGAGTACTTTTTTGGGGGACACCCGGTATATATATATATATATATATATATATATATATATATATATATATATATATATATATCAATATTGAATTTGTGCGTAGTGACTAGAGTGCTCAACACCAATAAATCAGTAGAGCAAATAAAAAGACATAAACAACAAATTTCAATCTTAAAATTTTATTTCATCGCTACACAGTGTTTCACGTACAGCGTACGATCATCAGGCGATTGATGTTAATTATCTCGCAATAAATTACAACGGTTTACGCTGACGCGCTTAGATTGCTGACGCAAGCATTTAAACGATTGTGTTTACTTGCGCGCGCGCGTTTGAAATTAGAAGCTTTATAACTGTTCCTATGCCTACACTTGCTAAACAATTCAGATCTTATATTCAATGTATTAATTTTGTCCGATAACATAATCATTCTTTTTTCCTCGGTGCACAGAGAACAAACTTTCATTCCTGGGCAAACGGCTGGAACTTGCTTCATGACCGACCAATTTATTCGGAATGATTTGTTCTGCGATTTAAGACCCCAAGCATATTTCGAAAGTTCCGTCTCTGTCGAATAGCGCTCATTGTTCAATGATTTCAAATGATTGCTATATCGTAGCTTGAAAGGACCCGCCGTCATTCCTATATAATTCTTGACCACTTTCCCATTGTCGCTTGTAATCTGGGCTTTATACACAACGCTTCTCACGAGACAATTGCCGTTCAGTGGACATTTACTTTTAATTCTGCAGTTACACGATTTCGATGGAATTTGGGAGAGATTCTGATTCTTAAGAACACGCCGGTTGTGGTTTGAAATTGATGCTTTAATATTGTTCATGCATGAATAACTGACTTTGACAGAGTTTCGGTTGAAAATTTTATGTAGGATCGATGATTTGGGGAAATGCTTGTCTATTAAACGAAGGAAATTTTCTGCAACTTTCGTCTTCACGTTCTTGCTGTAGGGCGGATTGTACCAAATAATGTTTCTTGCTCGGGTTCGTTTCTTGGGCTTACTACTATTTGTTTCATCGTCGTACCTTAGGTTGGTATTGAAATTGCTTTGCTTCAGTGCATCTTCGTATAAAGGAGCGGCTGAATCAAAACTCGGTTTGTCGGAGGAAAGGGAGGATATACGTTTATTAATTGATTTTGGGAGTTGTCTGATAATTGATGGTGGATGATTAGAACGGCTATCAATATAAATGGGATCATTATTTGGTTTTCGATAGGGAGTGAAGTTATTTTCTTTCAAGTTTAAGGTTACATCAAGAAAGTTCACTGATTGATGGCAGACATCAGCGGTGATCTTTAAACCGAACTGATAGAAAATGCGATGGAGTTCCTTTCTAGCCTTATCCGCCGATCTACCCTTGCTCCCTTTTACCAGCA